TAGTTACGAAACCAGCCCTCCTGGAAGAAATCGTCCTTAGCCCCAGGGGTGTAACAGTTTGCTTACAGCTTATGCAAATTACGAGACGCCAAGTTGAGCAGGTCCTTGCTGCTAGAAGGAGAGACCAGGCTGCCCCCGGCATCTCCCCCTTCTTGTTGCACAATAAGGACCCTTTTCACTGAACTGGCTATCAGGTTCTGCACACACTGCAAAAAACAGGGTAAACAAAGTAACAAAAGAATAAAAACTCTAAAGCATACACAATCATTTTTACAAGGCTTCTCAACCATCCTGATAGGCCCCAGCATTCTGTTACATTCTTAGAGGCATTCCCAGGTAGAAACTGTGCCTGGAGGCCCTCAGGTATTGGCCAATGCTCCAGGGGCAATCCACAAGGCATGTGGAAAAGGGGTTGCTAGGGGAGGCTGTGGCCAGACACAAAGTATCCTGTCCGGTAAGGTTCGCCAGCGTTACCCACACATTAACCTTAGGTAATTTCTGCAATGGACAGTTCTCGATACTTATTCATGTAATTCCTTCTTCAGTTGTGATGTTTCCGGGCAGTTCTTCTGTCTGCTGTCCAAAATTCTGATTGGAGCACTCCGGTCCGACTCCAGTTGGTTGTGGCAGGGGTTCACGAAAAGGTCGTACGCTCTTCGCGGGAATCCATCTAGGCCCTTTCTCTGTAGAAACACAAGCATAACCTCTACCCCATGTAATAAGGGGATAAGGTCCCATGACTGTACCTGTTTCTGGATCTCGGATCAGCACGGGCGGCTTGATTTGCAGTTCGAGCGAAGCATTCGTATTAAAATGACGGACTATGGGAGGATTACTGTCTATCAAAGAACAATTCAGAAAATTAAAAACATATAAAGCTTTCTGAAGACGTTCCTCGGGGTAACGGTCCCTATTCCCCTTTTTGTTGTTGCAATAAGCGTTTCAGAGACTGATGAGAGCGTTCAATTAAGGATTGGCCCGTGGGGGAATGAGGGATACCCGTAATGTGGTTGATCCCCCAAGAACTCAAAAACTTTTAATTGCAGTTGAAATATATGCAGGGCCATTGTCAGTTTTAATTGAGAAGGTATGCCTAAAGTGGCAAAAGCACGCAGCAGATGTCGTTGAACATCGCGCGCCTTTTCGCCAGTATGACAAGAGGCAAATAATGCCCCAGAAAAGGTATCAATAGAGGAGTGAATATATTTTAAGTGACCAAACTCCGAAAAATGAGTGACGTCGGTTTGCCAAAGTTGCAAACTTTGCAATCCTCTAGGATTAACTCCTCCTGCTATTGTAGGAAATGAGTGCCTTTGACAATCGGGACACACAGCAACTATACTGGTTGCCTGCTGAGTAGTAAGGCCAAATTGTCGCTTAAGCCCACCAGCATTTTGGTGAAAGAAAGCGTGGCTAAGTTTTGCTTGTGCTATGCGGTCTGGCAGTACCTGTACCGGTAATGTAAGCAGGTCAACTTGCCGGTTCCCTTCCGCTATAAAGCCAGGTAAGGAAGTGTGAGATCTGACATGCATAATGAAATAGGAATGAATGCGAGAATCTAAAAGAAAAATAAGCTCCTGTAACAAAGCAAATAATGCAAAATGTGAGACATTTCGTAACACAGACGCCTCAGCTCGTTCAACAATCCCTGCAACATAAGCTGAATCAGTGATGATATTAAGCGGTGTAGACCATTTTCTAAAGGCTCGGACGATGGCAGTCAGTTCCACGATTTGGGGGGAACCCGGCACTGTCTTTATATCCGATTCCCATTGTTTGCGCTGGTCGTCCCACCAGAGGATAACAGATTTATGGGACTTCCCAGATCCATCGTTACTGTGTGGCTGGTTGCCAGGTCCAGCCCGGCGCTCCCGGCTGTGGCTGGGTGAAGGCTTGAGGCACTGTCGTATCCCTCTGCGGCAGCGGAGGGGTTAACTGCGGAACTTGTGTCTGCACGCCCCGTCCCGCGCTCCGCGATCGGTTTCCCTGTATCGGTTGCCCCTGGGAGTCATACTTAGAGCGACATTGGTTAGCATAATGGCGCCCCTTCCTGCACCTAGGGCAAATCCCCGGTGCCTGGGGCTTGGCTCCAGATGTAGCAGCCATACAATTCTTTTTCAAATGGCCAGGTTTGCCACAGCCATAACAAACCCCGGGGCCAGCTGTGCCACGCATGGCAGCAAAAGCAGCGGCCATCGCTTCAAATTTATGATCTACGGTGCCAATTCTATTACAGGCTTCCACCATTTCCACGAGAGAGGGATTAGGGTTCGGAAGAGATTTCAATAACTTCTTACAATCTGCATTGGCATTTTCCACCGCTAACTTTAACAACAGAATTTCCCGCGCTTCCACATTATCTATCTGGCGCTCTAAGGCTTGTCGTTTAATATTTGCCCATACGTCCTGGGGATCGGGAGGGTAGAGATCTGGCTCCTCCTCTGGGTCCACTGGTCCTGGATCAAAAGGATCATCCTCTGGGGGGTACTTGGCGGCGCCCACCTCAAGAGGCTCCGAGGTCTTCTTATCGACCGGGAGACCTTTCCTGTCTTTAGTATCTTTATTCTTAACGGTCTCCTGAGCCTTCAGAGTTTCAAAGATAGTCCTCCACCACGGGAGCATGCGCTGTGCTTCAGCATTCCCTGTTGTAGCCGCGTCCCACAGCTTAATCCCCACGTCATCCCAAAGCTCAGTCGTTAATATACTGGAAGCAGTTACAGTGGGGATTTTCACTTGTACCCACTTGAGCATAACCTTAAGATCTTGCCCAGAGAGATTCTTTTCATATTTTTCAAGAAGGGCTTTCATAAGTTCGTACACGTCCCTCTCTGGGGAAGACACCTGACTTCCCATGTCTCCCACAGCTCACCTCACAACTCCGGAGGGATTCTTAATGCCGGCTCCTGCTTCCTTTCAGCAGCTCATTCAAAGTTCTGTGGGACTCGCAGCATGCCACGCAGATAGGTGGTTCTTAATCCCGAATCACGTCGGGGTCACCAATTTGCCGCGATTGAGAGACGGAGACCCAGCTCGATGCAAGTCAGGATCTACTTTATTGAACACAACAACCGATTTTATATTCCAAACAGACAAAGAGAGACATGTGTTTTAAGCTGATTGGCACAATGGTTAATCACCTAATACATATTACAAAAGTTGAGCTCATGATTGGCTAACGTCTAAGGTCAGCTTGACTTTTTCTGCAGTTAATTTTCTGCTAGCTCACAGCATTCTTCTCCTTAACAACTTCTACTCCTGTTTCTATAGCACATGCTTATCTCTAGTTACGAAACCAGCCCTCCTGGAAGAAATCGTCCTTAGCCCCAGGGGTGTAACAGTTTGCTTACAGCTTATGCAAATTACGAGACGCCAAGTTGAGCAGGTCCTTGCTGCTAGAAGGAGAGACCAGGCTGCCCCCGGCAGTCATCAGCAGTTGAGGTTTTCCCCCGGTCACTCTGAGGACAAATACACGCCGAGTGCCACATCCTTGCCCCTCAGGCCTGGCACTGCCCAGCTCCCCCTAAACCTTTGCCTATACCCTAACACCTAACCCTGAAAGGTGAGCTCTCATCCTTAGCCCTGCCCTGATCACTGAAGCTGAAAACCTCACCAGATACCTGAAATCTAAGCCCTACCTACCTCCCTAATCCTTTCCCTCAACACCCCTCATCTTCAACCAAGTCTTTCCCTGGGCTGGCCTAACCCTGGACAACAGCCCTGGGTGGGGTGCAGCTCAGCAGAAAAGGCCCTGCGGGTCATGGTGGTCAACAAGCTTCACATGAGTCAGCGGTGACGGCTGGCAACCCAGAAGGCCAACAGCATCCTGGCTGTCTGAAGAGGAGCATGGCCAGGAGTGAGGGGGAGGGATTCTCCCCTTCCATTCAGTGCTTGCTAGACCACATGCCCAGTACTGTACTGAGTTTGGGGCCTCCTGCCCCCAGTACAGGAAGGACATTGATCAACTGGAGCAAGCTCAGTGAAGAGGCACCAATACAGTCGGGTATGTGTAGACGTGCAGGGGGCTGGAGAGCTTCCCACCTGAGGAAAGGTTGAGGGAACACTCTCCAGTATGGAGACGAGAAGGCTTTGGGAAAACTGGTAGGAGCATTTCAGTACCTGTCAGGCAGCTAAGAAAATAGAGCCAGGCTCTTCATCGTGGTGGATGGTGGGAAAAGGAGAGGTAAGGGACAAAAGTGGAACGAATGTTCAGGCAGGAGATGAGGACCATGAGGTCATAACCATGAGGTCACTTACACACTGGAAGAGGTTATCTTGAGAGGCTCTGCAATCCAGACCCTTGGAGGTTTCCAAGCCTCCTTTCCCCCTACATATGGTCTCCCAATATTGAACAAAAAGCTCTGGCTCAGGCAAGAATGAAGCAAAAGCCTATGGCACCAACACGAGCTCTTCCTCCCCTGGCCCTCTTCCTGTGAGAGGTGTCTGCCACCAATCCCACACTTCTTTTCCTCAGCCTTTGCAGCTGCATGTGCCTGGCCTGCTCACTTGACTTTGCAACCATCACCTTTGTATTTAAGGCCCAACACATATCTTGTCACTCCCACTGTAAGCTGGCACCCACCCCGCAACTGCAGCCCACCTGGCCACAGGGGCACGGAGAGGCCAGGCCCACTCTGCTTGCACTGGGCACATCTTTTTCCTGGGAACGTCCCCAAGGATCTCTCCTCACGTGTGTCAGGCTTGGCCTGGCACGGGTGGCACAGGGACAAGGGCTGCTGGGGCAGGGCTGAAGTAGCTCAGCTGGGAGAGCGTTAGACTGAAGATCTAAAGGTCCCTGGTTCAACCATGGGTTTCAGCAATGTTTTTCTCCCTTAGGGTCTTGCAGAGCCCGTCTGCCTTTGTCCATCCTGCCCTGTCCCTCCTTGCTCCTTCCCCTCTTGCCAGAGCACTGCCCGTGTGCTGTAGCTGCACATCTACAGGTTAGAAGGAGCCTTCCTCTTGCACCACAAGCCCCCAGGCTTCCCCTGGGCAGGACTCTCCACTCAGTGTGTCTTTGGGGTGTTCTCCAGCTGGGTCTCCTTCCCTGCTCCACAGAGATCGGGATCTCTCCACTGAGGGGTCTCTGCAAAGACTCTGTCTCTCTCCTCATGGTCATTCTCACTGGTGCAAAGACTGCTCCTTTCCTCACACACATCCTTCACCTCAACCTCAGTTCCCAGACCAGGGCACACTGCCCACAGGGAGGCCACTGTCCCCCACTCCCAGGGAGAGGCACTCCTTGCAGCTGAGAAGCACAATTGTCCCATGTTTACCACCACGAAGATACCACCCCTGCATGTGGTCAGGCTCTCAGCCTTGGAGTTAACAGCTGCCCGTGCTCAGCCACCCTGCCACGGAGACCCCAGCCAGGGCTGTCCCAGGGCACTGCTTTGCTGTCAGGACCGGCCTCAGTGCTGAGGAGTGGGGAGATCCCTGAGCCCAACCCACACCCGCAGCCCCAGGGAGATGGAAGCCTGCTGTCCACCTCACCTCCTGGGATGGAGTGGTGCAGGGCAAGGCCCAGGGACTAGAGGAGGGGTTATGGGATTTCTGCCCCTGTGTGCCCCCACCACACACCCTGGATGTCATCAGAGCCTGGGGGCACCTCGCCCTGTTGCACTGCTCCTCCTTGGGAACAGGGAGCCCAAACTCAGAGAAATAAGACTGCTCTCCCATGGGCTTTCCACATCTGAGCTCTGCCCAGTGTGGGGCAGTGGTGCTGAGGGCTGGGGTCTCACTGCGACCCCCCTCAGGTAGATCATCAGGAGCTGCAGGAGCAGACACAGATCTGGGACACAGTGGCAATCCTGCTTTGATGCAGAGAAGGGACCCATCTGGCAGGGGCATCCTGTTAGGTCCCAAAATGCATGAAACAGGTTCTTTCTGCTCAGTGGTGCTGCCCTCTCAAGCACACCCACGCCTGAGGCTTATTTCCTCAAGGAGGAAGAGGCAAACCTCTACCAGGTGCCAGATTATGGGAGAAATATTACACCTGTGGGAGGGCAGAGCTGGTGGGGCAGTCACACCGGACAGGCACTGGGCTCTTCTCCCCAGTTCCCACTTGGGGCACCTGGAGTGTGCAGATCAGTGTCCATACTGTCCAGAGGCCCCCACCATCCCGTGTTCAGAAGATAACACTCCCCTCTTCTTTACTTCACCTTTATACCTTATTTCTCTGAGATGCAGGGCTGGAGCTTATCCCAGTGGGAGTTATCCAGGCTGTGTTTGCAATGCCCATGGATGTCACGCATCATTGTGGGGGTCTTGCCCTGGGAACACTGCTCTCCCATGGGGGCTGCCAGCAGGAAGGCTCTCAGGTGTGGGGCAGGGGGATGTGTGAACCTCGGCTCCCCCCAGGTGCCCCCAGGGTCAGCCCAGGGGTGGAGGAGCTCCCAGAAGGGAATGGGACAACACTGCAATAGGAGAGGATGTTGGCAACGTCTGCCTCCTCTCCACTTCTGCTCCAGGGCCAGATCCTGCTGTTTGCAGCACTATGGAGCTGCAGCTACTCCCCACAGGCAATCCTGCCACAGACACCCAACGCACCTTCCAGCCTGCAGAAAAGAAGCCATTGTGGAAGCCGGTGGCATGCGCAGACCCACCAGCAGGAGCAGGGAGGGCAGTTGGGCAGTTTGGGCGCCAGGTCCTGCCCAGGTGCCAAACTCTTCTCCCAGCCTGGCTTCTGCACAAAGTTTCTGTGCCGTGGGTGCTGGGGCAGGTGAAACCCCAGCTGAGGGAGAGGGACCCTGTCTCAGCTCCCAGCAGCACCTGTTTTACTGGAGGGACACAAAATCTCCACTGCCATGGAAAAGTGTCCACATGAGCATCCTCCCGGATGGGCCCTTCTCCAGGCCAGGGGCTGGAGCACAGTTTTGGCTGCCGCACGCGTCTTGTGGGGAAGCTTTCTCCATCCCCCTGGCCCTCTAACAGCGCTGAGGGAACAGTGCCCTCATCCTCGGTGCTCCAAGCCCTCACGTACCTGCCCACAAGTACTGCCCCGCACACAGCCCAAACTGACATCCCTGGCAAGGCAGCAGGGGGGCGGGGTGGGAGCTGGAGGGGAGCAGGAGGAGGGTTTCCCAGGGCTGCTCCAGGTCTGCAAGGCAGGAGGAACAGCCCATGGAGACTGGGGTCCTGGCAGAGCATGAGGAGAGAGAATCCCAGCCACGTGTTTCCCAGGAGGTGGCTCTGCACCCTGTGCCAGGGCAGTGGGGAGCAGAGCTGCCTCCCAAGCATTGTGGGAGGTAATCCGTGGGCCATGATCCCACCTGGGGCTGGCTGGGGTTTTCAGGGACCTGCGGTCACCTTAGGGCTTGCTTCTGTGAGACAAAAGCCCAGGGCTCACCCTGACATGGCAGCTCTGTCGTGGCCTCTGCATGGTGGGATCGGTGTGGCCCAGGCAGGGCCTGGGGGAAAGAGCAGCTGGAACCCTTGGGGGAAGAAATGGGTGCTCCCACTGGGGTGCATCATGGGACCTATCAGAGAGTCACTTTGATTAGAAACTGCCTGTGGGCAGCAGGATGGATGTCTCTCTCACCAAGATTATTCCCCAGGGACTGTGGCCTCACGCAGCCCCACAGGCTGACCCTGAGCCTGCTGTCCCTGAGACGTGCCCCTTCCCTACGACCGTGTCTCTGTTCTCTGCTCCCCCTGAGCAGCCTCAGGGAGATGCCCTGACACCTGGCAGGGAAGCATCAGCTCTGAGTCAAAGCCCCCAGAGGCTTTTAATAAGCAAATATAAGAATGCACAGCATAAAAATGGGAATAAAAATGGAGGAAACTCCAGGCGGTTTCTGCTGCCCATGGCTCAAGGGAGACAGTCCCCTGGTGCTCGTGGCTCTCCCAGCTGCACAGACCTCTCCTCCCTCCCGGCTGCACCCAGCTGTGCAGCAGGGATGGGCTCTCCTGGCCTGGGGCTCAGGGACTGCTGTGCACCAAGCTCCGGTGTCACAGCCTTTGCGTCCTCACAGAGAAGTGCCACAGGCACCTCTTCAGCATCATCATAGCCCATGCTCCCCGGGGACGGGGATGATGTGTCTCCTTCAGCTCCAGGGACCTCAGCACTTCTCCAGGAGCGCAGGCTGCCCCCTGCAAGCAGCAAGGCCGGACGTTTCAGTTCACCCCATGGGGTCTGTACACCACCACCCTCCCTGCTCCTCACCACCTTCAGCTCCTTCTCCCACCCCTGGGCCTTTCAAGGAAAACTCCTATGCCAGGTTCCCCCTTCCCAGCAGGTTTTGGTGTCAGTAGGGTAGTGACTTGAGGGGCACCAGGGATGGCACCCTAGGAACAGGCAGTACTCTCTTTCCCTCTCACCTCCAGGTGCAGCCCTGGGCCCTGCTCCCTCCTCTGGCATCCTGGGAATTTCCCACTCTCCCTGCCCAGGCACAGCATCCTCCCCCAGGTCAGAAACCTCCCTGGCATCATCGTAGCCATCTGCTGTGTCACCTCCAGGCAGGACAAGGACATCTGAAAGGAGAGGGGAGCTGGTGACAGTGAGAAGATCTGTCCTGAAGAGCAGAGGATGGGAGGATGTGCAGGGACACAGAGCGCAGACACTGGGCTTGGCAGAACCACAAGAGATGCCCATGTCCTCCCCTTCTCCGATGGTGACACTCAGGGACACCTCTGTCCACCCCATGTCTGCAGGGAGATCAACCCCTTCCTGCCTCCGTTACCTGGTGCTGATCCCAGACCATTCTCCTCCTCGCTGACCCCAGGGTGGGGCTGCAGCTGGGTCAGGGACTCCTCTGAATAGGAGCCTGGAGAGATGCACAGCGGGTGTTATGGAGCAAGCCCCACTGACGTGGTTCACGGTCAGCGCTGCTGGGAAGTGGGACCCACAGAGCTGGGGCTGTGTGGGGAGGAGGGCTGGGAATTCACCCTGCTTCCCCGGGACAAACCCTGTCTCAAAGGAGCTTCCAGAGCTGGCCCAGGACAGCCCCTTGCCTCGCTCCTCGGGTGTCTCATGGGGTGCAGGGGCAGGAAGAGAGGGGCTGTCCAGCTGGGACAGTCAAAGCTGACTGGGAGAAAGCTTCTCTCCTGGGATCAGGACCTGGATGCTCTTCCCCACAGCTCCCACAGCCAGCACCACAGGGACCACAGGCTGGGGGGCTTCAGGGGTCAGCTCTGGGTTGGGGCCAGAGGAATGGGTCCTGCGGATGTGCCTCCAGGGAAGACCCACACCCACCTGAGCGATCAAACCTGGCTCGTTTCTCCCACGCTGGGCTGTACCCGATCTCCTCGTACACAGCCTCGGGGAAGGGCTCCTGGGCTCTTCTGGAGCCTGGGGACAGAGGCAGGGCTGGCACAGGGACAGGCAGAGGGGCAAATAGACCTCACTGTGCTCCCCCAAAAGGTTCCTTGGGCCACCTCAGGACAGGCCGAACAGCACAGCCCCACTGTGCTATCCAGGCATGTCTACCACATCCCTCCCCAGTGAGGGCAACATCGATGTGAAGATCATCTGGGGCAGCGTCACCCTCACATCATTGCTTTGGAGACAGTGCTCATGCCCCTCTGGCCTGTGCGCCATGTCCCCATTGTCTCACCCTGGATCTGTTCCACCCTTCCTCTCCACCTGGAGCTTGCCCCTACCTGCCCCACGGGTCTATAGTAGGGCCCCTGTCCTGCCAGGGTGTGGGCAGGGCTGGGCAGGGGGACAGCCTGGGGGCCTAACACCACAGTGATGGACCCTGCTGCCCCACACTCCTCCTAGCATCTCTCTTGCCCCAGAGCCCCCTCCAGCACTACCGAGAGCACAGCCAGCCTTGGCCATCCCCACTCTGCCATTTCTCTCCTCACCCCATGGCTAACTGCCCCCACCTTGGGGCTCTCTCTACCCCTTGTTGCTGGTGCCCCACGGCCAGTCACTCAATGGGGCAGCACATGTGACAGGTAGCAGCACACAGTCTCACCCTCCCGCTCTGCCTGTGCCCCTCGCTGATACCCCCCGCCGCACCCCACAGCCCTGGCAGGAGGTATCTCCCCCCGGCACCTCTGGGCAAGGACCCACCTCTGCGCCCAGCCCGGCGCTCAGCACTTGTCCAGCCAGGAGGGCCAGGAGCAGGCAGACAAGGGTCCCCAGGATGATGCACATGATGACGGGCACTGAGACTCTCCCGCTGCTGCTCTGACGGCCTTGGGTGGGATCTGCATGGGAGAGAACTTGGAAGGGGCAGCACCAGTGCTGGCCCCATCACGCAAAGCAGAAGCAGGTGGATGGCCCCAGGGGTGAGTGACAGGGAAGCTTCCACCCTCCTGGGTAAATTACAGCTCTCCCCAACCCCTGCCACCACTCCAGTATCTCCTCCAGGCAGTTTCACACCCCAGCAAGGAGCCCCTTCCATCCAGCTGTGGGTCACAGCCTGGCCCTGGGGTACCCAGCCTGGGGAGGACAAGTTACCTGCTCGGGGTGGGGGTGTTGTCATCCTGGGTGTAGCTGCAGAGGAGGAAAAGGAGAGCTGGGCTGAGACACTGGGTGTGTGGGTATCAGGAAACCTCCTCCCCAACACACCGTGTTTGTGTGTGTGTGTGTGTGTGTGTGTGTGTGGTTCTCTAGATGTCCCTGACACATCCCACCCAAATTGCCCCTCCTGTAGTGCCAGAAAGGGAGGCCGGGACAGAGCCCAGCACCTCTCTCTGGGAGGCAGGCAGGATGGCAGAGGCAGCCCAGGGGATAGCCCTGGGGCTGCAGGGCCCCACGGGCAGTGGCCAGAGCACGGCCAGTTACACCGAGGCTGCTCCCTGCCTGGCACCGGGCTCCTGCACTCCACAGGAATGTTCTTTCTCTCGGAAGGTCGGGGGCCATGCCCGGACCACGTGACAAAAGGCCTTCCCTAGCTCCCTGCCAATACCCGAGCAAGGGCTCCCAGCCCTGCCACTAACCTGAGCAGCTCACGGCAGCATCTTCCTTGTGCCGGCAAGCCCCGCTGTCCCCGGGCCAGGCCCAGCAGTCCTGCAGGGATGGCTCCGTCCCCCGGCACTCCACCTGCTCCAGCCAGATGGGGCCCGTCCCCATCCCAAACGCAGCCTCATGCAGGGCAGACACTGCGGGGCCACAGCCCAGCTGCCTGCACGCCACCTCGGCATCCTGCATGTCCCACGAGTCGTCGCACACCGTCCCCCAGGAGCCACGGTGCCAGACCTCCACTCTGCCCGAGCACCCGTCCTTGCCTCCCACGGCACGAATCTTCTCCCTGGCTGGAGAAGAGTAAGACCTCCCATGGCACCGGGAGAGCAGGCAGAGCCCTGCCAGACACAGAGGGGACCTCCCTACCTGTGCAGCTCGTGGAGTTGGGGCACGGCGCCGGTGAGGTTGGAGGCATTTCTGGCTGTCCCCCTGAAGAAGGAAACACTGTGGTGAAGGGGCTGGTTTGGGGGATCATGCAGAAGAGAGTGGGGCTGAGCTCTGCTCGGGCCTCCCTGCACCATCTGGGGCACGGCAGCAACTGAAACCCTGTCATCCAGGGACACGTGCAGGACTGTGGGGGGACCCTGATTGCTCAGCCCCAGAAGGTCCCTGGCTCACAGAGCAGCAGTAGCTTGTCTGTGGAGGGGAGGCTCTTCTGAAACATGTTTGGTCTCTTCTGAGACTCACGTGGAGATGCCTCTGCTCCTCCAGGCACTGCTGGTAAGCTGGGTGACTGCTGCTGGAATGTGTGTGGCCGCGGTCATGTTTGTGCCACTGACAGCATAAGGGTCTGGCATGGAAAGTAAAAGCTCTCAAGCTCTTTCTCTGTGTTTGGCCATGCCCCATGGGGAGCAGGAGCTGGGGTGACACTGGTGCATGGGTGCTCAGAGTTACCATTGCAGGTGATGTGGATCTCCTCTTCCAGGTATTCACATGACTGTGGATTCCAGGGCGTGGAGGGACACTGCCAGAAGGAGCTGTTTCTCTCCCACACTGCACGCGATCCAGCCAGGCAGGGCCAGACACCCTGCCAGAGGGCAGGCGTGTTTCCAGGGATCCTCCGTCCCCGCAGCCCAGCTCCTTGCACGCCAGTGTCACCGTGTCCTGAGTGGAGTTAGAGCAAACACTCCCCCATGTCCCGTTGTAGAAAACCTGCAGGCGCCCGGAGCAGCCGTCGCTGTTCTCCAGCCTCAGGGCCACGAACTCTGGGAAGAAAAGGCCCCAAAGCGGGAACAGGCTGATCTGGGGCTGTGGGAGCCAGGACACCTCTACACCCCCCAGGCCCTCAGCTGGGCAGGGGCAAGGCCACCACATCCCCCTTGCACCCAGGGGCAGAGAGAAGTCCCGGATTTACAGCCAGCCCTGCCCTTCCCGCGAACCCTCGGGGACAGCTGAGCTCCCCAGGGACCCCGTGGGACTGAGGGTGTCCGTGCATGGGTGGGCCTTGGGCAGGAGCTCAGAGGCAGCCAGGGGCAGCCTTGGCCATGGCCGGCTCTCCCCGCGTCCTGCCCTCCCCGGGACCAGGCTCCCACCACAGCTCCTGAGGTGGCACAGACCTGAGCAGAGACTCCCGCATCCTCTTTGTGCCCGCAGTCGTGCTGCCCCCAGGGCCCAGCCGGGCAGTCCCAGAGAGCAGCTTCGGCCCCGGAGCAGTTCACACCATCCAGCCAGATCTGCCCGGAGCCTTCCCCGAAAGAGCGGAGCCGGCTGCCTCCACTGCCTCTCCGCAGCCCAGCTGGTGGCAAACGACGGCGGCATCAGACAGGTCCCAGCCGTCGTCGCAGACAGTCCCCCAGATGCCCTGGGAGTAGATCTCCACTCTCCCCGCGCAGCGCCCGGCCCCGTTCACCAGCCGGACCCGCCGGCTCCCTGCAGCGGGTGGAAACCCCAGTCGCTGTCAGGGCCTGCCTGCCTGCGCAGACCGTCACCTGGGCGCCTGGGCAGTGCCACTCACCCCAGCAAATGACTCCCACGTCCTCCGCAAGCCCTGCCGCCAGCGCACTGCCGGGCAGGGAGGTGTTGCAGAGGGTCAGCTTGGCCTCGTGCCCTGCGCACCGGACCCCTCGCAGCCCCACGGGGCCCGTCCCTCGCTCAGGCTTTGGGGGGTTGTAGGCTGTCCCTGCCTCTCCGCACTGCAGCTGCCGGCACACCACGCTGGCCTCCTGCACGTCCCACTGCTCATCCAGGACTCTGCCCCACGCCCCATCCTGGAAGATCTCCACTCGTCCGTCGCACCGGCTCCCTCCGCCCACCAGCCGCAGGGATCCAAAGCCGGCTGGGCCTGGGGAGAGCAGATGCCACGGCCATCGGGCACCGGGAGCATGGCACCCTGCAGGGAGCAGGGCAAGGGGGATTTTCAACCAAACGGGACAAGGTGGAGCCTTGTGCTGACGAGAAGTGAGGGCAAAGCCTGGGCCCTCTCTGCAGCTCACAGCCAGGTCAGCTGCTGCTGGGGGCACCAGCTCCTGCCTGGGTGGGGGGATGAGGCTCTGCAGGGCTCTCTGTGGGGACGGGATGCGGTCGGCTGCAGCCAGAGGGATGGAGCAGAGCCCTGCAGCCCTGTCCTGGGCTCGCTGCACAGTACGGACAGAGGAGCCTGGGCCTGGCGGTGGTGCTGGGGCCTAAGCCACTGCCCTGGGGGCAGATGCCTGCCTCCGTTCAGTCCTCAGCTCTCCCAAAGTCGAGCGGTCAGTCTGAGCAGGGAAAGCCCTCCAGACAGTTCCTGGGGAAGCCAGGGTTTCCCCAAGGAGAAATTCAGCCTGATACGGCCATGGAACCCCTACTTTTAGTGGCTATGTTGCACACAAGTGACAAATGGAGTTTATGCAGCATTTTTCCAGCACTAACCTGAGCAAAGGACAGCAGCAGCGTTCCCTTGGGAGCACGGCGAGGCGCCCAAGGTGGTCACTGGGCACTGCTGCAGGAGAGCTTCAGTCCCGTCACAGTGGAATGAGTCTCTCCAGACAGGGCCAGTTTCTCTCCCAAAATATTCTCCTCCAGGAATGGACTCAGCAAACCCGCAGTTGAGTTGACGACAGAGAACGTGGGCATCCGAGAGGTCCCAGCGGGAGGCACAGAGGGTCCCCCAGGTTCCCAGCACCTGGACCTCAACCCTCCCCGCACACACTGTGCTGCCGTTCACCAGTCTGATCCCTGTGTACTCTGGGGACAGATGTGGAGAAAAGAGAGTGGATTGGTGCTCCTGTACCCTCAGTAGCTGGTGGAGGGGCCAGAGGGACCACATGTCTTTGTTCTCCTTCTGCAGTATTGTCATGCTGCAAACAAACCCATCAACCCTCCTGTCCTCACACCCGGCCCAGCACAGTCCCTGCTCTGTTCCCCAACCCCTACCACAGCCCCGGTGTTCAACAGCCCACCCTGAGTCCTTACCTGTGCAGTTCACAACAGCGCTGTTTGCGTGGGTGCAGGGCTTGTCCCGGGGGGGCCCTCTGGGGCAGGAGGTGAGGAGGGATTCATTCCCCACACACCGCAGCTCTCCATCCCACATGGGACCCACCCCTTCTCCAACGTGACTTCCTCCAGTGACAGGCAGGGCTACGCCGCACTGCAACTCCCTGCAGAGCACATCAGCAGCCTTGGGACCAAAGTGGGAATCACAGACACTTTTCCACAGGTCCCCGTCACGGATCTCCACACGTCCTGAGCAGCGGTTCTTCCCTTCCACCAGACGGAAAAATCCTGGAAATAAATCAACTGGGAGTTCCCAGAGCCTTGTGGCATTCCCATGCCCACATCCCAGACCATCTCCACGCAAACTGTGACAAAAATCGCTCACTGCACATCTCAGAAGAAGCTATTTAAGGAGTGATGGTGTCACAAAGGCATCCATGTCAAGTTACACACTTTCTCTCCACCATCACAGCACTCAGGGGTGTGTGTCTATTGCAGACCCACAGCAGAGTCTGCAAACCACGTTGGCACCGTTGGGACCAAAGTGTGAGTCACACAGGTCCTCATCATGGATCACTATACGTCCTCAGGAGGACCGGTGCCCTTAGAGCAGCCGGACAGATTCTGGACCAACCAATGACCCCTGAGAGTTCCCACAGCCATCTGGCAATACCATGACTACATGCCAGCTGATCTCCAAGGTGGCCACAGGCAAAAAAACCCTACGACATCCCCAGCTGCTCTCAGGGGGTGCTGGTGGCACAAACACATCAGCCAAGGGACCTGTGTCTGCTAAGGGGGACAACCGCAAAGTAGCTCCCCGTCTCACGCCCTTCCACAGGACGGTGGGTGGCCACAGGAGTCACTTCTGGTGCCTCTGGCATGGGGACAGCTGGCCCTGAGCACTGCCAGACAGCTCCTGGGTGAACAGGAGGAGAAAGATGGCAATCAACAGACCATGCAGGGCAGGGATGGAGGGTTCATCTGCACCAGCTCAGGGACCAGGCACAGTAAGGCACCCTTGGGCAGGTTCCCACTGGCTTTCCCCAGGGACTGGGGACACCAGTAATGACAGTCCCTCAGCAGTGTGACTGGCCACACTGGGCAATGCTCCGATGCCTGACTGTTGCTCCCTGAGGGCACAGCCAGGTTCCTTCCACAATCTGAGCCCCAGAGGTATGGAATAGGTTGTCATCTTACCTGAACACACCACTCCAGCATCATCAAAATGACCACAGTCATGTTCACCCCATCCTCCATGTGTGCAGTCAGACAGGGCAGATTCGGTGCCATTACAGCCAACATCATCCATCCAAATGGGGCCAGATCCTGGCCCAAAGTGTCCGTATTGAGGAGCTTCAACAGCAGACCCACAGCCCAGCTGTTTACAAACCACTGCTGCATTCTTCATGCTCCAGTAGTGACCACACACAGTCCCCCACTTGCCCTGTTGTTTCACCTCCACTCTCCCAGCACAGCGCCTGCCGCCGTCTGCCAGCCTCACCTCCACAGCACCTTCAAACACTGACACAGGACCAGTAAGGACAGCGCTCAGCCCCAGCACTGCGGGTCTGGGGAAGCCCTGTGCAGGTGGAGTCAGAGGCACCAGGGTGGGAGCCCACTCCCCTCCAGGCTGTCCCCAGGGCAGTTCAGGAGTCCCTTCTCTCCTCATGGGCTGTGCAAGACTGGGGGTGCCCAGCTCCAGCCCTGCTGGGTCATTTGTGGCACCACACACTCTGACACTTCCATCCACTCCAACAGCCCCTCGCCCCTGACCTGTGCCCACCCAGGGCTCCTGCTCCTCCCCAGACAGCACCCTGAAAAGGGACCTGTCCCCACCAGGGATCCCCCAGGCTCACATGGCTACTCCTCCCCAGAGCCCCCAGCTCCCCTGGACCACAGCCTGCCCTGGGCCTCTCCCAACTCACCCTCCTCCCTCAGGACTTTCCGTGTCCCCTGTGGAGCAGAATGATGGTCCCAGTGAGGCCTCCCAACCCATGCTCCCTCCTTGTCCTTGGGCATCAGCCCAGACCTGACCTTGTCTGGGATCCCCGCAGGAAGCTTACCCCTTTGCGAGCCTCTGGGAACAGATACCCCAGTTCCCTTGTCTCCACAAGCACAACCCACCCCCGGTCAGGCCGGGGATCACCCTGACTCCGGGACAAGAGTGAAGAGCCCACACCCCTTCCTGGGTACCCCGGAGGCTGGCTGTTCCTCTGGGATGACAGAACAAAGAGCCACCAGTTAAGGCACCACCAGCTCACAGGGAACAGAGCTGGCAGAGCCAGGGCCCCAGGGATGCCCAAGGATGGCAAATCCACACGCGGGTACCAACGGCCAGAAACGTGGGAGCCCTGGAAGCAGAAAAGCCCTTCTGCCACGCAGAGAAGCACAGGCTCAGTGAACCTGTTCACTTTCTACCCCTTGTCACATAGACACACGGGAAGAAGCCCCATTTCCAGAGGGATCCCTGTGCTGCTCCTTGGACCCAGGGCTTTGTGGCAGGGTAGCAGGCGTTTCCCCCTGCACAACTGCACCCAGAGGAGCAGCTACAGTAACTAAGGGGACAGAGGGACTCTGTCCCCATCCTGAACCTTTCGGCAGCCGTGCACCAAATGCAGGAGGATGGAACAGAAGCGAGACATTGGCTTCTGCATCTTTTCCTGCGTAACTGCAGACTGCAGGAGACAACATCACCCCTCCTGTTCTCATACCAAGGCCAGCACTGTCCCTGCCCTCCTCCCCTGCCCCCGGCACAGCCCAGGTGTTCAACAGCCCACCCTGAGTCCTTACCTGTGCAGTTCACAGCAGCGCTGTTTGCTTGGGTGCAGGGCTGGTCCCGGGGGGACCCCCTGGGGCAGGAGGCGAGGAGGGATTCATTCCCCACACACCGCAGCTCTCCATCCCACATGGGACCCACCCCTTCTCCAACGTGACTTCCTCCAGTGACAGGCAGGGCTGCGCCGCACTGCAACTCCCTGCAGAGCACGTCAGCAGCCTTGGCACCAAAGTGGGAATCACAGACACTTTTCCACAGGTCCCCGTCACGGATCTCCACACGTCCTGAGCAGCGGCTCTTCCCTTCCACTAGCCGGAAAAATTCTGGAAAAAAATCTAATCAACTGGGAGTTCCCAGAGCCCTCTGGCATTCACATACTCACATCCCACACCACCTCTAAGCAAGATGTGACCAAATCACCCACTGCATATCCCAATAGCTTTAAGTTTCCTTGTAATATTTCTTTGAAAGGACAGATTGCGTAGAAGGTAGGTCCTTGAAAGGAGCTGTTATTGTTAACAATAGGCCTATGAAGATAGTAGTTGCTTAATTGCTATATTTTGAGGATAGTGGTTGCTTAATTGGATAGCCTTGCACTTATCTACTGACCATCCAAGGTCAGCTTTGATTAAGTAGGATACGTGGTGAATGCCCAAAGATAATAACAAGAAGAAGAGTTACAAAAAGACAAGAATGGCCTGATTTTGTCATGTGTGAACTTAATGAAAACAAAGATGAGTATCAATATAGACAATTTTAAGAAAAGGACAAGGTAAAGAAAATGAGCAAGGAGGAAGTAACAGCCACCGACATACTGAAACGACCACAAGGATGCACTACCACGCCTGTGTAAAGGACATTATAATATTAAAAGGAGAACCAGGGAAGGCTTATACTTATGTATATACTCACCATAAAGATAATGAATATGTATGACCTTTTCCTATATTAACAGGATACTAACAAGTTCAGGGGGTCGGTGCTAGGTGGAATTATGCCTCACTGGCCTGGCACCAGTAAAGGAATGCTTCTTTCAGAAAAATAAACCTTGGTCTCTGAGAGTTTCTTTACAGACTGACTTTTACATTAACGACAGAGGAAGCTGTTGGGAAAGTGTTGGTGTCAGAAACACATCCAGGCCAAGTTACACACCTTCTCTCCACCATCACAGAACTCAGGTGTGTGTGTCTATTGCAGACCCACAGCAGACTCTGCAAACCACGTTGACACCGTTGGGACCAAAGTGTGAGTCACACACCGCTGTCCAAAAGGCCTCCTCATGGATCACTATACGTCCTCAGGAGGATCTGTGCCCTTAGAGCAGATGGACAGATTCGGGACCAACCAATGATCCCTGAGAGTTCCCACAGCCCTTTGGCAATACCCTGACTACATGCCAGCTGGTCTCCAAGGTGGCCTCCAGGAAAAATCCCTACGACATCCCCCAGCTACTCTCAGGGGGTGCTGGTGGCACAAACACATCAGCCAAGGGACCTGTGTCTGCTGGGGGGGACAACCTAAAAGTATCTCCCCATCTCACGCCCTTCCCCAGGACGGTGGATGGCCACAGGAGTCACTTCTGGTGCCTCTGGCATGGGGGCAGCTGGCCCGCAGCACCGCCAGACAGCTCCTGGGTGAACAGGAGGAGAAAGATGGGAATCAATAGACAATGCAGGGCAGGGATGGAGGGTTCATCTGTGCCAGCTCAGGGACCAGGCACGGTAAGGCACCCCTGGGCAGGTTCCCACTGGGCTTTCCCCAGGGACTGGGCACTCCAGTAATGACAGTCCCAGCTCGGCAGTGTGACTGGCCACATTGAGCAATGCTCTGGTGCCTGATTTACGTTCCTTTAGGGCACATCCAGGTTCCTTCCACAACCCCAGCCCCAGAGGTATGGAATAGGTTGTCCCCTTACCTGAACACACCACTCCAGCATCAAGGATATGATCACAGTTATGTTCACCCCATCCTCCGTGTGTGCAGTCAGACAGGGCAGATTCGGTGCCATTACAGCCAACATCATCCATCCAAATGGGGCCAGATCCTGCCCAAAGTGTCCGTACTGAGGAGCTCCAACAGCAGACCCACAGCCCAGCTGCTTACAAACCACTGCTGCATCCTTCATGCTCCAGTAGTGACCACACACGGTCCCCCACTTGCCCTGTTGTTTCACCTCCACTCTCCCAGCACAGCGCCTGCCGCCGTCTGCCAGCCTCACCTCCACAGCACCTTCAAACACTGACACAGGACCAGTCAGGACAGTGCTCAGCACCAGCACCGCGGGTCTCGGGGAAGCCCTGTGCAGGTGGAGTCCGAGGCACCAGGGTGGGAGCCCACTCCCCTCCAGGCTGTCCCCAGGGCAGTTCAGGGATCCCTTCTATCCTCATGGGCTGTGCAAGGCTAGGGGTGCCCAGCTCTGGCCCTGCTGGGTCATTTGTGGCACCACACACTTTGGCACTTCCACCACAACAACCCCTCGTCCCTATCCTGTGCTCACCCAGGGCACCTGCTCCTCCCCAGACAGCACCCTGAAAAGGGACCTGTCCCCACCAGGGCTCCCCCAGGATCACATGGCTACTCCTCCCCAGAGCCCCCAGCTCCCCTGGACCACAGCCTGCCCTGGGCCCTCCCAACTCACCCTCCTCCCTCAGGACTTTCCGTGTCCCCTGTGGAGCAAATGATGGTCCCAGTGAGGCCTCCCAACCCATGCCCCCTCCTTGTCCTTGGGCATCAGCCCAGACCTGACCTTGTCTGGGATCCCCCCAGGAAGGTCACCCCTTTACGAGCCTCTGGGAACAGATTCCCCAGTTCCCTTGTCTCCACAAGCACAACCCACCCCCGGTCAGGCCCGGGATCACTCTGACTCCGGGACAAGAGTGAAGAGCCCACACCCCTTCCCGGGTACCCCGGAGGCTGGCTGTGCCTCTGGGATGACAGAACAAAGAGCCACCAGTTAAGGCACCACCAGCTCACAGGGAACAGAGCTGGCAGATCCAGGGCCCCAGGGACGGTGCCCAAGGATGGCAAATCCACCGGGTACCAACGGCCAGAAACGTGGGAGCCCTGGAAGCAGAAAAGCCCTTCTGCCACGCAGAGAAGCACAGGCTCAGTGAACCTGTTCACTTTCTACCCCTTGTCACATAGACACATGGGAAGAAGCCCATTTCCAGAGGGATCCCTGTGCTGCTCCTTGGCCCAGGGCTTTGTGGCAGGGCAGCAGGCATTTCCCCCTGCACAACTGCACCCAGAGGAGCAGCTACAGTAACTAAGGGGACAGAGGGACTCTGTCCCCATTAACCTTTCGGCATCCGTGCACCAAATGCAGGAGGATGGAACAGAAGCGAGACATTGGCTTCTGCATCTTTTCCTGCGTAACTGCAGACTGCAGGAGACAACATCACCCCTCCTGTTCTCAGGCCAAGGCCAGCACAGTCCCTGCCCTCCTCCCCTGCCCCCGGCACAGCCCAGGTGTTCAACAGCCCACCCTGAGTCCTTACCTGTGCAGTTCACAGCAGCGCTGTTTGCTTGGGTGCAGGGCTGGTCCCGGGGGACCCCCTGGGGCAGGAGGCGAGGAGGGATTCATTCCCCACACACCGCAGCTCTCCATCCCACATGGGACCCACCCCTTCTCCAACGTTACTTCCTCCAGCGACAGGCAGGGCTGCGCCACACTGCAACTCCCTGCAGAGCACGTCAGCAGCCTTGGGACCAAAGTGGGATCACAGACACTTTTCCACAGGTCCCCGTCACGGATCTCCACACGTCCTGAGCAGCGGCTCTTCCCTTCCACTAGCCGGAAAAATTCTGGAAAAAAATAAAAAAAATCAACTGGGAGTTCCCAGAGCCCTGTGGCATTCCAATGTCCACATCCCACCCCACTCTAAGCAAGCTGTGACCAAAATCACTCACTGCACATCTCAGAAGAAGCTGTTGGAGCATTGTTGGTGTCACAAACACATCCAGGCCCCCCTGCACCCTTTCTCTACACTATCAGAAGATCCAAAGATATGTGTCTGTCACAGCACCAGACACTGCTCAGACAAACTGCTGCTTCACAAGGTGCCCTGTGCTGCCTGGCATGGTCCCCCCAGCACCAGTGGTGTGCGCAGTTTAGGTCCAAGGCCAAGGGCTGTGTGCCACCCTGCTCCTCTGTCCAGGCACAGCACTTGTGCTCCCTGAAAAGTACTCATGCCTGTGATGGTGAATGACCCATGGGGACCAGCCACCTCATGCTGTTCCTCCAGTGTGTGATGTTCCAAGTAAGACCTGCCCTGCTTTCTCCAGCACAGGGTCCTCAGCACTGTTGTCTGGGAACTGGCAGACTGAGTGGAGTCCAGTGGATACCAGTGGACACACTGGGGCAGGGACAGAGTGTTCATTTTCAGCCTAAGACACTGGCTGAAGAGGGGCTGAGACACTGTGGCAGGGTTAGTTCACCCTGGGGTAGGCTCACTCTGGGCTTTCCCCAGGCACTGGGTCACCAGCAATGACAGTCCCAGCTCGGCAGTGTGACTGGCCACATTGAGCAGTGCTCCAGTGTCCGCGCGTTGCTCCCTGAGGGCACAGCCAGATCCTTTTCACTATCCCAGCCCCAGAGGTATGGAATAGGTTGTCCCCTTACCTGAACACACCACTCCAGCATCAAGGTGATGACCACAGTCATGTTCACCCCATCCTCTGTGTGTGCAGTCAGACAGGGCAGATTCGGTGCCATTACAGCCAACATCATCCATCCAAATGGGGCCAGATCCTGGCCCAAAGTGTCCGTACTGAGGAGCTCCAACAGCAGACCCGCAGTCCAGCTGCTTACAAACCACTGCTGCATTCTTCCTACTCCAGTAGTCACCACACACGGTCCCCCACTTGCCCTGATGTTTCACCTCCACTCTCCCAGCACAGCGCCTGCCGCCGTCCACCAGCCTCACCTCCACAGCACCTTCAAACACCAAGATGGTATGGGTCAGGACACCTAAGTCCCACTGCGGGTCTGGGGGAGCCCCCTGCAAGGTAGAGTCAGAGTCACCAGGGTGGGAGCCCACTCCCCTCCAGGCTGTCCCCAGGGCAGTTCAGGGGTCCCTTCTATCCTCATGGGCTGTGCAAGGCTGGGGGTTCCCAGCTCCAGCCCTGCTGGGTCATTCTCCATCCCACCACACAAGGCACCTTTTCCCACCCCAGTGACCACCTGCCTCCTGCCCATGCCCACCTGCACACTGCCCAGCCCTGCACTGGACACCTGCTCCTCCCCAGTACCCCCTGCCGCCCGTGTACCCAGGCCTGCAGCTTCCCATACAACTGCCTGCCCCAGCGTCAACCAAACCCACCCCCCTGCCCAGGGCTTTCCGTGTTCCCACTGAGATTATCCAGAGGATCCCCCCACCCACATCCCCTTCACATCCCTGGTGTCAGTCCAGTCTCTGCACTGGGCTGGGTCCCCCAGGAAGGGTGTCTCTCTGCTGTAGATGCCCTGGTCCCCATCTCTCCGTGGGGTACAAACTGTCTTCATGGGGTCAGGGCTCCCCTGGAACAAGGGGACAGTGAACAGCACAATATCCCTTCGGGACACCCGAGACATTAGCAGTGCCCCAGGGGGGATCTCTGGGTGCTGCCATCACCAGCGAGGACACCATCGGCTCCAGAGGCACATTACAAGGGGAAAGGGGGTCCCAAAAGGTACCCCAGAACAGCGTGTCTGTGAATCCAGCCAGGCACAGGCTGCCCTAGACACTGGAACCCTGCAAAAGGAGATACTGTCTCCCACCCAGATGGGCCCAGGGAAGGGCACAGGGTCCACGGACTTGAGCACGTTGTGTC